CCTGCTGAAAGTAAGTAGGTTTTTTGTTTTATTTTTATGTTTATTTTCTTTTTCTTGTGCACATTTCATTCCCGGGGTTCCCCCTTTATAGTTCCGGGTCCTTCCTCCCACTCTCCCCTGGGACAGGCAGACCCCTTAGACATAGTCTACAGACCCCTCCAGGGGTCCGCTGACCACAGGCTAAACACCAATGATATAGAGCATACCACAGCTGTATCACCAGTGGCACCTGTAGACACCACGGGTTTTAATCCTTATTACATTAAATAGGTTTATAAAATTTAATCTTGTTTATTTTGGAGTGTTGCATCAGTGTTTGCACATACTAGGTTTTCAAACAAATTAAGCCCAGTCCCTGGCTGACACCGCAGGAGAGTAGGATGATCCAGCACTGCCCCTCTGTCCTGGGGCCCCCCACCCATGTCTGCCACACAGATGTGGATGCAGGGAAGCTGGCAAACTGCACAAGGAAAAAAAACAAGAAGCAATTTGAAAACAAAAGCAATTTGAAGGGGTGAACTACAAAAAAGTCAAAGCCATCTTGTGGACAAAGAGGCTTATTACATGTCTTTGAGTACCTCTGCGTTTGCACGCAATGAATCCATGGACATGACGCTTTAATTCCCAGCGAGTCAAACTAAAGTACATCCAAGGAGTTTTACTTTAATGCACCAGAAAGACTTTTAAAGTGTCCAGAAATCCCACTCATGCAAACAATCATGCAGTTGCAGTGCAAGAGAGGGGAAAAAATGAGGTGTGTACAAAGGCCCAATTACACTTTTGCATGAAGGGAGGTGTTTAATGTCTTTGGATAGTCCCTAGGCGCAGCTAGTACAATGATTCAGTAAGTTTTGCACAGCTATTGGCACTCATTTCAGAGAAGTGGGTCACCATGAGCATGGATTGGTGTCCAGCTTTTAAAGTAACTGCAAATCACTCAAGACTCCTATAAAGATGCAGGGAGGCTGCTCCAATGTGCTCTAATTCCAGAGTATCAATTAATCAAGTCTGCTGGAGCATGGAAATTAATGTGCTCCAGAAGCCTCCAGCATCACATGTATCCCCATGCTGAAAAATGATGGCAGGGCACTTTAACCTAAAGCTCATTCAATGAGCTTTAGTTCAAAGCACCCCCCTGCCATTTTTCAGCACAGGGACACTAGTACACATGACGTTCTGGGTGCCTCTTGGAGCCATGCTAATTAAAGTGCCCCCCCACACACACACACACACCTCCCGGAGCATGTCTCTGAATGCCTCAGTCTTTTTAGAAAAGATACAACAGTTTTGCACCCCTGGTGCCTGCAAACTGCTCTTAAACCAATCTTTGTTAGCACTTTCCTCTCTCACCTTGAAAACATTAGAGGAGCTAACACAGTCTTTAGCTAAATAATTCTGTGTAGAGCAAAACATGCACTGCTTTTAAATCAATCTCCTTTTTCAACTAAGGCCTCCTCTCAGCAGGTCCAATTCAGAAGAAACCTAAGCTAATATACCTTACAGTTCCTTTTGGGCCATCAGCTTGTTATATCAACTTCAGCCAGGTCAAAACCCTTCTTCATGGAGACAGACAGCTCATACTGTAAAAAAAGGATTTTTTTCCACATAGTTTATACCATGCCTTAAGAGAAATGAACTATTCCATCAGAAGCTTTTTTATGCCAGCTTAACCACATCTACATTAGGTGTTGTGCTGGCATAGAAATGTCACAGGAAAATTACGATGAGGGTGCAAACAAGCATTCACCAGACCTAATCTAGGTCTAGGTGACTTACTTTAAGCCACCTAGACATAGACTGGGAGCAGTGGCCATGTTTATACAAGACACTGACTACGCAGTAGTTAGTGTCTACTGCACAGTAAAATCACATGGCAGGAAGTGTGTTGGAACACTACTGAACAGTAGTCATGAGCTACTGTGCAGTGAGCATCATGCAAAAGCCATTCCTTGGCATGACCACATACTAATTCCAGTAACTGCACAATCATTTAGTACTTGCAGTCAGCGTCTCATGTAGACACAGCCAGTGTGTACAGCAGTTCACTGCTGTCAGGAAGCAGCATGTGCAGTCATTCACTGCTGACGAGAGCAGTGTAGGGAGTACAATGCAACTAACTCAAGGTAGGGGGAGGGGCTGGTGGGATCAGGGAGCTGGAAGATCCAGGGGGAAGGAGGTTTGTGCAGTTGGGGTCTTAGAAACCTAAAAATAGCCCATTCAAGGTCAGGGGATGGGAATAGTATGGCCCAGGGGCTGAGACAAGAGGCTGTGGGCTGTGCTGCAAACCCTAGATGAGATGAATCCTTTTTCAATCTAATTTAGTGCACTTCCTGAGGTGCACTAACTTCGACTGGGTATGCCACTTTTTGACTGTATTAAACCTTCTGAATGCCTGCACAATTGGGCATTTAGATCAATCTAACCCTGGTTAGGTTGAGATAAAAGTAATGCCTGTATACACCCTGACATTGTAGTACTGGCAGAAGTTTGTATTTTAAACCTGACCTTTGACTCAGCTTCTCTGAGGCTCCCTTGGATTCTCACCAGTTATGGACATCAAACTGTCACCCTAGTGTCACCTCTGAGCCTAACTGACTCTACAGAAGTCTCAGCTGCTTAACTGTAATTGTTATTACAGGGCTAGCTGGGGGCATGAGTAACACATGATTGGGACCCTGCTCTGTTGTAAGGTGCAGTGTGCAGCTGTCATGCCCTTTACAGTCATGTATGCCTCTGGTCCACTGATGGCATGACTTTTATAACTGCTGAGTTTTCTCTCTCTCTATTCAAAATACTGAGTCATCACTGAACTCAGTGCTAATCTATTTGCACCAGGTTTAATACCATGTGCCTAGCTCCAGACATCACAAATCCTGGTGTTTGCAATACTGATTGTTTACTGACATCAGTTACAATTCACTGTTTGTTTTAAAGGAAGTGCTGGAAAGAAAATAAAAACAAAAATGTTTTCCTGGCAGCTAAACTAAAAAATAGCTAATAATGGGTGAGTCCCAAAAGATTTAAATAAACATAGCAAGGCTTCAATAGTCCTGCCAGTTCTTCTGAACAACAAAGGTGGCCACTGCCCTTTGGGCCAACATGCCGGAGAATGCAACTATAGTCTTCAGAGCTGAAAGCCTAAGTCATTATGATTTAATACAAAAACCTATGCTACAAAGAAGAGTGCTACAACAGCCTCATATGTGAGGTAGATTGGGAACAGAGAAACATTCATACCAAAGTGGGATA